ACTAAAACTTTGATGGTGCTGAAGAATTGAGCAGATGAAGCAGAATGGCTTCGGGATATGTATCTTGGCAGGGAGAAGTTATCCTTCCGGGCTTTGCTTACGTCTTAGGTCACATCGCTCAAGCGTGAGTGGGCGTGTTAAGCGCCGGCAAGTTACTTCGGAATTATGGTGACCCTGTGAATTCATGACCTTCAGAAGATTCTATTGTTAATAACCTTTCTCAGGTCCTGCAAACTGAGGGCCATGGCTTCCTTTATGAAGCCAATCCATCTCATGTCGGGGCTTCCTCTTTTCCTGCCGCCTTCGACTTTCCTAGCATTATTGTCTTTTCCAGTGACTCTTGTCTTCTCATCATGTGACCAAAGTACAATGGCCTCAGTTTTGTCATTTTAGCTTCTAGGGACAGTTCAGGCCTGATTTGATCTACAGCCCATTGATTTGTCTTTTTGTGGTGCACGGTATTTGCAAAACTCTCCTCCACGCTCAAGGCTATCCCTTTGGGAAGAGGCAGGGCTATTTTGGGGCAGGAATGGAGTTCCGGCTGGCTCCTGAGTTGGCCACACCCAGCAGGAACTTATTAGCATAATAGGCCACACTCACAACTTTAAGGCCAGTAGCTCACAAAGTAGAATTTTTGCTCACAAGACTCCACAGCTTAGAGGGAACAATGGTCGGGGCTTCCTCTTTTCCTGCCGCCTTCGACTTTTCCTAGCATTATTGTCTTCTCCAGTGACTCTTGTCTTCTCATCATGTGACCAAAGTACAATGGCCTCCATTTAGTCATTTTTGCTTCGAGGGACAGTTTAGGCCTGATTTGATCTACAGCCCACTGATCTGTCTTTTTGTGGTGCGCGGTATCGGCAAAACTCCTCCACGCTCAAGGCTATCCCTTTGGGAAGAGGGGACCAAAACTTTCACAGAGGGAGGGGAATTACCCTTCTTAGGAAGGAACGGTGGTGGGTGGAATTGAACTTCAGCCTTCAAGCCAGTGTAGATGTTGCCCTTAGTATACTGGAAGATGAGAGGCATGAGCTGGCTTCAGATGCACAATGTTACGAAGCTCACAGGTACGTTTGGGCCAATCACAATCTCTCAAACTCTACCTGTCTTGCAAAGCTGTTGTGAGAATAAAATGTAGGGGAGAGAAGAGACGTCTGCGTGCTACTCTGAGCTCCCTGGAGGGAGGCAGAAGGGAAAATACATAATTAGAGATGTGAAGGATGGGGAAAAAAAACACGGAAAAATCAGGAAAAAACTGTTTTCCCCGTTTTTTTTCCTGACACTTTTTTGTGTTTTTTTTCCGAAAAATTGGAAACATTCAAAAAAGAAAAAAAAGAAAAATTGATTATGGCCCCAGTCACACGGGTCAGATAACGCGAGGGTGAGGCGTGGCTATTTGCCCCAGGGCAAAATAAAGCGCGTTAGCTCGATCACACGGTCTCCCGAGTCGTCGCGCTGTGGCAGGAAGCTCGCAATCACACGGCGATGCTGGAGCTGGCAAAGAAGCTGCGCGGCAAGCGTTTTGTGTTTGTGCGCATGCGCAGTTCCGCGGGGCAGCACTGCTTCCAGTTTAGTGTTCGTGCGCCCCAGACCAAGAGTCCCTATCTATACCTTGCAGCTAATAGCCACTGGTGGACCTCTGCTCCATATGCTTATCTAATTTCCTCTTGAAGCCGCCCATGCTTGTAGCTGCCACTACCTCCTGTGGCAGTGAATTCCATGTGTTAGAATTCCTGGGCCAATCTGGCCTGGAAGAAACTTCATTCCTGACCCCAAAGTGGCGATTGGTCACGATATAAGCATTGTCTCATCCCTTCCTGCCTTCCCTCTCACGGGCTGCCTAAACACATAGCGAGTGGACAAAGACGGACCACTCTCTTGAACTGGCCTACCTTCTTCCCCCAGTTACGGACTTCCTTTCTTGAGAAACCTTTCTGGTCCAAAACTGGTGCTTCAATGGCGGCCGTCTCCCTCCAACCCAATCTAATCAAGGGCCAAGGAACCGCTGATGCAACACGGCTAACCTCATTACGAGCTCTCACTGTCCTCTATTACTGGAGGCCAGGCAGATTTCAGGTGCGTCTCGGACGGATGACATAACGGATGGTTTGTTTTTCCCTTGATGAGATCTGCTAGAGTGGCCTCCTGAGTACTCTCCAGCCGCAATCAGCCGTGATTAACTTGGCGCGTCTTTCCCCCCCCCCCCCAAAAAAGAGGGAGGCCCAGCTGACGTGCAGCCATGTGCCTACATCACTGCCCATGTGACCCAGAAGTAACACCATCATGTCAGGGACATCAGGGCGACACTCTGGTATTTGGGCAAAAGTTCCATGGTAGAAGCAAAATTTACCATAGAGTTTTTGCCCAAACACCAGGATGTCCCTCCAATGTGATGACGTCACTTCAGTGTCACAAGGACAGTGATGTAGGCACACCGTTGAAATGTCGGCTGGGCTTCCCTCTTGCTCCTGGTAAGCCCCCTCTTCCCTTGCTGGTTACCAGGAGGGACCTGGCAACCTTATTTCGGCCCCAGAAGGAAAATATTTCCGGAAAGTTTCATAACCCTCTCATACTTTCTGGCACCGAGTCAGCTTTTGCGCTGCATACCTTCACCAACAGCACCCCAGGGGGATATTTCACCACGGTTCTTCCTTGGTTAAGCTTTCCCCAGTGGCTGCTCAGGTTTAAACTGTGCCCAGTGTTGGCTTCCGGAGGGAAGGGAAGTTCTGCCTCATCTAGAACCTGGGCCTAGGGTTGCCAAGCGGCGCAGCGGGGGAGAGTTGATTCACACGTCTGCGCTGCAATGACATCGCCCGGAAGTGACGTCATCGCGCTAGGCACGTTGCCGGGCAACGCTCCAGCAATCAGCCTCAAAACTCTATGGCACCATGGAGTTTTCAGGCTGATTGCTAGAGCATCTCCCGGCGACGTGCCCAGCGTGATGTCAGGCTGATTGCTAGAGCATCTCCCGGTGACGTGCCCAGCGTGATGTCACTTCCGGGTGACGTCATTGCCCTGGGCATGTTGGACCGATCTGGGCCCTTTGGGGGTGGGGTTCCCCCCGCCAGCCAGGTTGGGGGCCCTTTGGGTGGGCAGCCCTATCTGGGCCACAACCCACTGCAGAAGCATTTCCCGAAGGGACTATGTGACAATGTCCCCCGCATTCCGCTAAGCCTTGCCTGTTTGGTGCACCACAAGCCTCCCAGCAGAGAAGCATGACTTTGGGATGTCCCTGAATTGTGCTAGGCCTAGAATTGACAGGCCAAGCCCAGCAACTGACACAACAACTCGGGGCAGGGAGACGGGGCCGGGGAAGTTGCTATGTTACTTCTTGGTAAAACCTGCACGTGACAAAAGACAGCTCTAAGAATCACCAGAAAGTCCAGGGCTATTTTTGGGCAGGAACGCACAGGAACGGAGTTCCGGCTGGCTTCAGAGTTGGCCACACCCACTACAGCCAAAACCTCTGCGTGCATGGCTACAGAG